GTTATGGAGATACCGTCTAATTAGTCCATTCATCTAAACTTTCGCATTTATAATACTAGTAAGAAGTAAGATATTAGTAAAATGGAGACAGTTTGCTATACAATACTCGATCGTAAGTGGATAGGGAATTTAATTCTTTGCCTGTACATTATAAGCATGACATTGTTGCGCAAGGTTACACGTGTTATAACATTGCTTGCTTTACATCTTAAAATAAGCACAGGAAGTAATAGATTTTATAGTTCGATTTTGTTTAATTGAAACAAGAAGTTTAGATATGAAGTTTACAGTAAATATTACGCTCACTTCAGCGTGTAAGTTACTGTTTGCATGTAACAGAACACCACAAGTAAAGAGCGTCGACCTCGACTGAGAATTGGTAGTCGTGCTACATATCAATTGGCTGCAACAATGACTAGACCATCTGAATCGTATAATAAATAAAAAGTGAAAAAGTATGTCAAGTCACACAAGTCATGTTTAGGTTTGTTATAAAATTACAGCTCAGTAAGTAGGCTTTACATAAATAAAGATTTATTTAGCAGTGCTTAGTTCAAATTTACTTCATAATATACCTTTTAATAAGTTCGCGTAAAAAAAACGCTTAGAAAAGACTTTTGGTGGACCAAAGTACAACGTATTCGTCTATCATCATCAACTCACTATACGTTCCCACCGATGGGCTTCTGAGCCCACCCTACCCAGAGCCTACCCTAAGATAAGGGTAATTAGGCCATAGTCAACCACGCAGGCCAAGTGCGGGTTGGTTGACTTGTGCAGGTTGCATCACGATGTTTTCCTTCGCCGTAAGAACGTCGGATAAATGTACACATTGGTACATGGCGGGAATCGAACACAGGACCTGCAGATTGCAAGTAAAGTGCTTGACCCCTGAGCCACCGACGTTCGATATTCCGCCGATATTCGTCTATCTTTTGTTATTTGTAAATATTGTCTAATACTCCATTTTGTCCTCATATCACCTTCACCGTGATTAAATCCCTTTAGACATTATGCCAAGCTCTACGGTTAGTTTGCTGCATTACATTGTTGGTAAAAAAACAAACAATTCGTTTGCCACGTTGCCTTTATGTTTGGAACACTGCCAAAACAAAATGCTCGCGCCAAAATGCTGCAATGTTTAATTATTGTTATTTACAAAGAAGTATTTCTAAAACATATACGATCGTATCCGTAGGGAATCATATGACTTGAGTGTGTTAATATTTCACAACATAGTAACCTCCGTTTAATTTATACTTTTCAACCTTTACATTTTTTAATAATACATACAACGTACGTAAGTTAATCACACTTTTTTGTGTTTAGTATAACTTTGCTATACGTAAGCGTAAAAACTTTGTTACAAAATAACTTCAACCATTCAGTTGGCCTTGCAGAAAAGACCACTAGAACATTCGTACCGGTTTAAATATGATACTAATTAAATACAATTAAATAATTTTTCACAACGTAATTAACTTTAAATATCAAAATACTAGCAGTTGCCCGTGACTTCGTGACGTGTCATCAGAAGATATTGTTGGTTCGTAATAGTAAAAGAATTTTTCAAATCGGTTTAGTAGTTGCAAAGCCTACAATGCAAACAAACAATCAAATCTTTACTCTTTATAATATTAGTATAAATTAGAAGCCCGTTCGGCTTTGTCCGTGTGTTAAGACGTCTGATTTTTTTTCTATCTTATTACGTAAAATTTTTCCACTATAATTTAACCTGTGAATTTCTGTCTATTACTAATAAAAATGTTGTTTTTGTTCTCTCGAGTTGTTTACTAAGATTTTAAGGTTCCGCGTAGTTTTTAGGATATCTTATACGTTTTATCAGAATCGATTATAACATTGCTTTCAAATACTGTTTTTTTTAATAATACCGTAGAATATAAAGATGACCGAAGACACATTATTTTTCTTTAAATTTCATTGTTAACTTACGTTAGCCAAAAAAGTTAAATTTTAAATTCAGAATGTGTCATGGTCACCCTACTCGCTAACTGGGTTAAGTCTACTTGTGAATATTGCAAATTCCTCAAATATTTCCACAATGGCTGGCGCTCGCAGCACTCAGCATGCTTCTTTTGTTAAACTCTTGTGGTCGACAAGCTAAACCTTGTTAAAACTTTTCAGGTATTTTATACGTACAACAATATCTAAAAGAACGTATTTACTGTTAGACTAGCTGTTGCCAGCGACTCTATCCGCGCGAATTATAAAAAAATAAAGATTGGTTATGTGTTCATCCAGACTATGTTCTGTATGTATGCCAAATTTCATTGAGATCCATTCAGCCGTTCTGGAGATACCTTCAAACAAACAAGCATACATCCATCTAAACATTCGCATTCATAATATTCGTACGAAAAGTAAGATCTAAAGTCAAAAACTTGGTAATCATTAGTTCATTGTCTACATGTTTCGTCTCACAAACGTATCAAGAAGTCTCGTAAATATTTTCAGGGTGTTACGATACGAGGATTTAGCGTTGAATCCTAACGTGACTACGTACAAACTGTTCAAGTTCCTTGGCTTGAGTGTGACGTCGTCGGTCGCTGAGTTCCTACGATCTCACACCAGTGTGGAAGTTGCCGGCGTCAGTTCCACCTTCCGAGTCTCAAGAGATGTGCCTTTCAGGTGGAAGAATGTACTAAAGTTTGACTACGTTGAGGACATACAGGTGAGTCAGTAAATTGTAGACATAAGAAGAAATAATATTGTAAATTAATAAAGGAAGTTTTACAATAGATTTATTTTCAAACATTTTACAGTTGAACGCCTATTGTAAAAGGATTTGTGATGTTACTAAATTTTATAACCAGTTCCAATATATTTTTGTACTAGCTGTCAGCCGCGATTTAGGTCGCACGGAATTAAAAAAAAACTTAATAAGTAGTCTATGTGTTCTTCCAGACTATGTTCTACATGTATGCCAAATTTTAGCGACATCACCGTTCTGGAGATACCGTCAAACAAACATCCATCCATCCAACTAAACATTCGCATTTATAATATTAGTATAGATATATTATTTTGTAATATCTGATTTAGTTGGACATACTTTACTTCCTAGTCATTAGACTCGGTCTGCAGCGCTCTGCTTAGTCCAGTTGATGACGCATGAAAGCCGGGGTCTTGCCTGGTATGACTGCGTGAAGACAGATTTAAAAATAATGTTTAACGAATATTGTACACTGTATTGTAAAGTACAAAATCTAACTGTGGGTTTCTTTAGACCAAAATAGTCGTTTAAAAGATATTGTTATCTCTATTTTGTCAAAGGTAATGATAGGGATAACGATATGTTTTATTCGGAGATTTTGGTCTTAGAAATCAACGGTAAATCGTTCGTTTTCAGATAACATGTAAAGAAGCAATGAGCCTGTGGGGTTACAAAATGGCGCACAACGCATCGCACATGCTAAGCAAAGATTTCTATCCTCTCGAAGAATACTCACTCGTGCAATGAAACATATTCTGTGATACGTATTGGTCTCAAAATATTCACATGATGGAGTGAGCAAATAAATAATAACGCGTAAGTTTTTTTTTATATTTTTGCGGTCTAATGTCGTATTTTGTTTTTACCGAGATACTCTTACACTTTGACTATATCATCGAGTCATCTTGCCAGATTCCTAACTGACTGACTGACTGCGTCGGTGGCTCAGTGGTCAAGCACTTGACTTGCAATCTACAGGTCCTGGGTTCGAATCCCGCCATGTACCAATGTGTTTTTCGATTTCCGATTTACATATGTACATTTATCCGACGTTCTTACGGTGAAGGAAAACATCGTGACGCAACCTGCACATATCTGAGAAGAAATCCAAAGATATGTGTGAAGTCAACCAGCCCGCTCTTGGCCAGCGTGGTTGACTATGGCTCAATCACCCTTAACTTAGGGCAAGCTCCGAGCCCCCCGGTGGGGACGTATAGTGAGCTGATGATGGTGATGATGGCTATTCCTAACTCTTGTTTCCCCGTAATTATAAGTTTTGACTTCATCTTTCGTCATCATCACATAACATCAGGTGGGATCGTGGTTAAGTGCAAGATTGTTCATCACAAAATAAATTACAGCGTGATATTTGCACGCGTTCCTGAGAAAAAGGGTCTTGATAGACCGACAGAAAACAAAGTGATTTTATAAGGGTACTGTTTTATTCCTTTCGAGGTACGGAACCCTAAATCTCGTTTCTTTTTTTGCAAAGTATTATACAGTTTTTAAATTTATAATGTTTTTTTTTTCAGATTTTTATATCTTCGCATAGCACAAAAAGCAGGTACGCGATATTTCATGATTTTAAAGTACATTTGAAAACATTTTTACAAGATAAGCTATTACATCGAATTATATTCATAATTGTATCATTATATTTAACTAAAGTATAATTATGTTCTCTTAGTTTATTATAATTTATATTGGAATTTAATTTTTACGAACATTAATCGAAATATAACTAATATCAGTAACTACTAGTAATAGGTATCATAAAAGGGTAAATTGCTTAAAAATAATACCTTCATCGGTCTGAAGACTTAGTGTTCAATTCTTTTTTTAACCCATTAGTGCATAACGTTCGATAAATCGGACGCCAATAAAATTGTTAATTTTAGGAGTTATATATATTTTACTAACCGTTTATTTTTTTAAACAGTAGTGTAATATATATTTGAAGTGTTAATACTGTTGGTATGACATTCCGGGAAGCATAACGTCCGATTTATCGGACGGGCTATAAAATCTAAACTTTCATATTGATTAAATATTTTATATAATTTAATGGTCAAATACACTCGAAATGAAAATATATTACAGTGATCATAATGAAGGCGTTAATAAACTTTATGCACTAATGGGTTAAATAATTACAGTGATGGCCTTGAAAATGACTTCGAAAACTATTTCGCTAAATATCTGCCATTAACTAATAAAAAAGAAAACATCGTATTTCTTTTATTATTCGAATGTTTTTATACAATGGAAAGGGGATGTATAGTTTAGAGTGGGTTGTGTTTGAAAAGTCGTATCAAATCGTAAAAGATGGACCATTATTATTAAGGTTAAAATCCCTTGAACAAAGTTAAAGGTTTTCTGAATGAAAGAATCTCATTAGTTGGTCAATGTTCAAGCGATTTTGATCCTTAAAGTCTTCTCGTTTTAGTTGATAAGCTTAGGAACAAATACTTAATAATTTAGCACTCACGGAATTGACGAATTGTTGATGCTTCCAATATAGACAACACGTTTTTTATAGTTTAGATATATACTCATTGCACTGGTTATATACAGACATATACATATATAAATATATAATATACAAATATCATTACTTTGGCTTTTCGTAATTTTAGGAGCCGTGTACACGTAGATTTGGCTTACAGTATAAGTTTTATGTAATTGTTATATGACGCTCTTTTTTACAATATTTGGCCAATAATTTGGGTCAAACTGTAACACCAATATGAACACCAATTATGCAAACAACAGTTTAAATTATATTTGTGACAATTTGCCGAACATTTGCCCAAACTTATGGACTATAGCGTTGATATTTGACAAATGTTTGTATAACGTCATTGTATTGAATATTAGTTGGATCTCCGTCCATGTGGTAAAATAAGCGAGAATCTACCGAATTGTTTCCTATGACAATGTTGTGAGGTCAACAGTTCAATATGTAACAATTGAGTTATGGAATTTCAGTAAAAATAGCAATAATTTTAACATTAAGTCAGTGTTTTCAAGCTTACAGAGGCACGACTATAAAAATCACCTTTGATATACAATTTGAAAAAAAAATGGCGCTAAATTTACTATTGGATGTAATTAAAGAAATTTGTAATAATCATGTTGTTCCTCAAAATAAGTATTTGCAAAAATCGTTACCCTATTGTAATTTTCGTAAAGTCTTGGCCTAAAAGTTGAGAAACACTGCGTTAGATTGTTTAGTGTTGTTTATTTCTCATTTTTAATCGATTAAAATCGATGCTCATTTACCATATCGTAAAGCCAATATAAAAATCGGCTACAAAAAGTATACGTCTATACAAGTCCGGCGTTAAGGTTCGTTTAGATATCCGGAATCGTACGAACGCTCGGCAGTCGCTTCAGAGCGAGACAAACCTATTGTATTCCCATTTATCCCGCTCTAATCCGGAAGGGTACGAACGCTCGGCAGTCGCTTCAGAGCAAGACAAACGTATTGTATTCCGATATGTTTATCCCACTCTGATTCGACTGACGAGCATTCGTATGATCCCGGATTCTCTAAACGAATCTTTAGGCACTTTGTCATATTTTTATATGACGAATGTCCGACCTCAAGAGAAAACCGACTCTATTGTATTAGAAATAAGGTCGCTGTTATAATTCTAATTAACGAAACTATGAATGTAGTGAGAACTCATAAAAGTGCACTTGATTGTAAGAAATAATTTAAAAAGTTAATTAAGAAGGTATCATTAATATTAGGCTCGAAAAAGTGTGGTATTAGTAACTTATGTGATTTTGATGATACTCGAATTGTTTGATGTCGTGAAGATTTATTTTTGGCATTGTTATAAACTTTTTGATGTAATAATTTGAATTTTACATGTATGTATTCGTTTCAATGTTTTTAATGAACTCATATTGGCTAGTTACTTTTTTACATTTACATGTGTGCCCTGTTGGGCCACAAAGTTTGTGACGTCATTTGTATGTTAGTTTTTAAAAGTAATATTTTAGCACGTGATTGCGTTTAGCGTCAACTGATCAAATACATTTTAGTGGTAACAAGATTTTTAAAGAACTATTTGCGAAGGTTTAAATAAAATAATCTATTGAATAAAAAGAATCTGGAAAATATTTTTTCCTTAATGTTACCATCTCTAAATTACCATAGAGTTTGTCTTCCCTAAACGGGTAAGATTGCAATATCAAATTAAATTGTCCATTTTATTAAATCTACCAAATCTGAACATTGATTAAAACTGTATGATTTTTTTCATCTATTTTTAATTTTTATAATGCTTGAAAAATTGTTTAACACGTTAGCTGCCATGTCGGACTTTATGTCCGACAAGCTAATGTTTCAATCAGGCCGTGGCGGACTATGTGTCCGACAAGCCATACTTCCATTCAACACCTCGCTGGGGCTTTTTAATCGAATTGTTGTAAACAGCGTGACCCGCAAGTGCCCATTCAAATGGTGTTGGACAAAAATTAAAAAAAAAATTCGTTTTTCGAACAGCTGGCAGCTAACGTGTTAAGTGACTTCCGAGAGATGTAACTAAACCTTCGCATTTATTGGTGTTACAAAGAAATGAATTAAATCGATCAAATTATAATTTAATATTATCCACATGACATTTGCTTTTAGTTGTTAAGTATTAACTTAATAGATTTATTTTTTAATCTAGAATTTAGTTAAACTTTCAAAGTTATATCTCTTTTAAGAGGCAATTTTTTTCTTAGTAAGATCTAGTTTAATGGTAAATATTATATATTGGTATGGCAATACATAAAAATGTTGCCATATACTATATAGTAATATTTATGAAGTTTTAATATGCTTACGAAATATACAACTTAAAGTCAATGAAAAGCCATCAATTACTATTTTAAGATAACATGCTTCCTGATAGATCTGACAATATATTCAGTTATGCCTTATCGAAATACTGGTAGTGATATAGTTAAGAATTTATTACTAACTGCATGGTAGTCATATACATATAGTATATACATATATATATTATAGTTTTTTTTTAATTAAAATGTACCGACCTTGTATTATAAAAATGACATACATAATCTGTACAAAATTTAGACAGTATTATTTAATGGAATAAGATATGACTTAAAGGTCTATGTTACCAGCTCATAAAATTAAAAAAAAGTATTATTTAATGTTATCATGTAAATGTCAGTCTGACATTTGAATGTCAAAAGATTTTACAAAGATTATGTTGATTGCTTATTATCTTTTTCAATGAAAATCTCTCTCAAAGAAACGTAGAGGTATTCAATGTTTACGTGTATGTTTTAGCCGTTTTTATATAAGTTTAAAACTATAAAGATGAAAAAATGTTTTTATAAAGATATTAAAGCGGATTATAAAAATCTTACTAATATTATAAATGCTTATATTAATGACAATGCCTAGAAGAAAACATAGGCTGATTAGTTTTTTTAACAACGTTTTTTGACGGAGCCGTTGACAGCTTAAACCTTGTAATTATGTTTACATTTTTATGATACATGGTCGCGGGAACTGGCTGGAACCAGATGTAGATTTTCTATCATATCATTAGCATATCATAAGACTAAAAAAACTTATCTATGTTACATTCATTATATTTGCTTGAGCTTGTAAACTTACGAGAGTTTTTAGTTTAATATTTTACGTTTATAAACATGTTTTAGAAATGTTTATTTTATTATTACTATTTTTTTTTTAGATTTACTTTAAATTTTTTGAACATTAAATAAAATTATATTATGTCAATTAATTAATACGATATGTAACACATAATAATTTTATTTGTTGTATGATTAACCGTTGGTTTCTGAGTTGATCTCTGTATGAAACATATCGCCATCCCTGTCATTATCTTTGACATAACAGAGATAACAGTATATTTTAAACGAGGATTTTGGTCTCGGAAACCCACGGTAATACAAGTTAAAAGTGTGTGTTATGATTTAGACACTGGTGTTCCTTTTTCAGTATATTTTATTGTATTTAAAAGCAATATCTTACTTATATATATAACAGTAAGTAGAGTTGATTAAATTAGAAGAATTTTAGAAAGTGCTAATTTTAACTGAATTGTATTAACCTTAGTTATTATGTAATAACACTTTTATGTCTCAAAGTATTAAAAATATTAATTTTTTTTATCATAAATTTTCACTGCCTATATATATATATATACAAAAATGTAATTTCATATTTATCACTTCCTTTTTTGGGAGAAAAAAAGGACTAAAATATCGGCAGTGAAAGACGACGGTTATATTGTTAATTCTCATTTGTATTGCCCTTTTATATTAAGTTTTAACTTATTTTTTATTACTCGACTGATAGGCATTTTAACGCGCCCATATAATTTTGTTTTAATATACGTGGATTTTATGTATATGTAAATTTCTTTGTAACGGCCTAAAGCCTAAACGGATGAACCAATTTGGTACCAAGTAAAGTGTCATTCGGTTTGTATTTTTTCCCAGAGTGTCATAGACATTACATCTCAACTAAACATGTATTTTAGCAGTAACTAAATTCTAATTTATTTGGAAAACACTTCTAATGTTTTTACGTTTAACTTTTTTTTTAAATTATTGAATCATTTGTTTATTATACAATAAGAAAAATTGCATATAACGATAGTTTATTTAGTTTAAATAGAAAAATATTCGTTTTAAAGTTCTGGCAATAGATGGCGCTATATTCATAACATCCTCAATCAGTCGAGTTTTTTCTTTTTTAATTAGTATAGGTTTTTTTTTTAAATATGTTATATGTATATTCAACATGTATTTGAAAATTATTGACTTTATTTAAAAAATGTATCATCCTATATAGTTTTGTGTATTAGCATTAGGCATTCAGGAATTGTATTACGTCCTATATATCGCAAAGGCGGGAAAATGAAGCAATAATTAAACGAATAATTTGCGTAAAGCCATTTTATATTTACAAAAGGTTGTAGCGTTTAAGGGTAGCCTTATTAGTGTAAAGGAGGGTTTAAGGGATTTGATTGTCTGTAGACGACTATAGGACGGCCAGTTGATATTACGTACATTGTATTATATTTTCATTTGAAATTAAATAAAGTTACAAATCTAGGTTGAGAACACGATTTTTATTTGAATCCTTTTTAACAAGTTTTAATGCTACGATACAATAATAGTAATATAATAGAGGAGAAAACTGCCCTTTACTCACTGTTAGATATTAACATGATCAAGAGTGACAGTAGAGCAAAATATACGACAAATATACTCAAAACAGTACGTCCGTCAAATTTCCCTTTAAAAATATTAAAAAAAAACTTTCCTCCTGTCGATGTATTCGGGCTTCGAAGCTCTACAAGTGACAGGTAACTCGACGCTAGCGCCACCTACTTTAAGCTTTCAGTTTTTCTCCCCATAAAGTACAGGGCGTAAAATAAACCTTTATGTACCCAGTAGTATTACTGCTAGATATTGTCAGGAATAAAATACGGAAAAGTGCCTATGTATTGACTCAACACTGGACTTACTAAAATGTCGCCGTTTGTGTTCCCTCACATTCATTCTGACACTGGACTTTGTAACGAAAGCACGTCATTCGCGCCAAAGTATTGTAATTAATAATGTCTAAAAATATTTGCAATATCTACATTCCAACGCCACTTGTAATATCCTCAAAAGGGTATTGCTCAAAATCTGCCAAGTCCCAAAACCTATCGATGATATCCGCACGATTTATGATGGACGATCCATTCGGCTTACTGTTGAAGTAAATTATGTAATTCTTTATCACCGGCGATGTGTCAGGTTCCACCAGAATTATTCCTGCGAAAAAAAAAACAGAAAAAAGTATTATATCTACACCAGTAATTTCCAGACTCTGTTAGTCGGGATATTAAGGACCGCAGGCTTACGATAGCCTGGAATAATTTCTCAAGATGAAGAAATGTTTTGTTTTGAATTTAAAAGGTGGGAAAAGGAGAGAATAAGATAACCAATCTTCACTAGCAAGAAACTTTATAAGTTGTTTGTAATGATTAATACTTCTCTTAAACTACTTAACCAATTTCAAAACGTCTTTTATCTTTAAAATGCTAATATACTCTAGTACGGATATTGCTTTACCAAGTGCCCACAATATAAGTATGATTATGAAAATCAATGTGCCAATAACTCCAATTATATTTAACATCAGCATTATATAAACTCGTTTGGAAATAGTAGGTTCACTGTAAAAATACAGAAGTATTCAAATTAGTAAACACACCAACAATTTAGAGACGAATTCAGAACCTCATCCTTTTTAAAAATATTAACAATTAAGGTTTGATAATAAATTTCAAAGTAAATTAACAGATTACCTTATTAGAATATTTTGATCCATAGTAAGCTTAATTACTATTAGTAAACCTATTAAATAAATAAGTTTTAACCCGTCTGTAGGCTTTGCAAACTACAGAAAACTCAATAATGTAAATAATATAAGTAAATGAATGTGTCACAAATGTCATAGTCTTTTTATTTTTCTACAAAAAAATCAAAAGATTTATGGTATTTTTTTTTAATCGATGGTACTATTCGTACACAATAATATAAGGTCCTAATAATGACGTAATAACAAAAATCTGGAATTACAAGTTACAAAACCTTCGTCGTGATGAATTATTTATCCTTTATTGAAGATTAGTAAGAATATAATAAAAGGTCCACCAAATTCGACCACATTGGAGCCTTGAATTATTATCTTTTTCATCGGTATATCATCAAGTTCGTGTTTTTTCTAACTTGGAAGATAAGGGTCAGTATTTATTGCTAACATATTTCTTACAAGGTGCATTTAGATTTTTTTTTATCGTACAATATTGTACACTAATATATCGCCGTGCGAATCGTTGTCGTAGGTTCAATGACCAGCTTGCTTTGTGTTTTATCGTAAATTGATTACTCATAGCATTTATAAAAATACCAAGTGCATTTCCGCCTACATGTAGTCAAGTAATACGTGACGACGATAACATGGGAGTCGCTAAAAATGTTACCGACACTCTTTGCTAAAAATATTCGGCAAAGTTGTGTAAATAAATTTGTTGCTAAAAAAATACTTTTTACAACCCATATTCCCGCATTAGTTCCATCAATGTCGTCATTAATAACTATAATTAATCAAAAGAAATTAATTATTTATACTCAAAGGTATATTTTTTTTATTAAAAATGACAAGCAGGCTATTTACATACATTTCCTTTTTAGGAACCTTCTTATAGGAAAAAATACGTAAGTGCAAAAACTCACATAAACAGAAAGTTATTACAAATTAATCCTTTGTGCTTTTAACTATGTAACTTTTATTTCATTATGCGTGCCCCAAAAAACAATGTATTGATGTCTACTTTACTATTTTTTTTTATAAATTAAACATCGGATAGATTCTCCTTTTGTAGGTATCAACTCATTTCTAGTCCATTGGGCCCACCATACAGGATGTCGTTTGGTCGAATTTAGCAGTGAGACCAACCGTTGTTTCAATATTTTAAATGCCTTAACTTTTTTGCTTATTTCTGTCCTACATCTACGAACGGAAGACAAAGCCGTATACAAAAATAATGATATTTTCATATACCTAACTACGACGTAATATTGATAAAAATGCATATGTTCACAAGATGCAGATGCACCTTTATCAATTACCGCTGAACCGGCCGGTATTTATCGTTAACCAGTTCAAGTTAAAATTAGATATGCGTGGTAAGTCTCGCTCAGTTGGCGCGCTGGTCGCGGGCGTGGTGGCGTGCTGCGACGCACGTTGACAGATCAAGCGCTAGTGTGCACTGCGCATGCGCGGGAGCGCGTCATCGCCTTTGTTTACAAACAACTTTATATTATCTGACCTGACCTTAACCAATTTGAGTTTTTTTTTTCGTAAAAATCAAAAGTTTTAGACAACGTTATCGGTAAGTCTGAATTTGTTTTGTTAACAGATATAAACATGCGTTAAAAATATGATAACATTGTCATAAATTACTTAGGTTATTTATTGTAATGTATTCAATCAATATCAACACGACTTTTTTTTATAATAATTATTTTTTTTGTTGTCAATCCTGACAAATATTATGCTCCGAAATACCTACGCATATGCGTAATATAGGTATTGCCAATGTTAATACATTTTTGGTTTATTTATTATAATTTGACAGATAAAGTTAAGCAATTGTGTATAATCTGTACCCAAAAAACACTAAATTCTTAACGAATAAAAAATACATGACAAATTATTTAATTTAATAACGAAATACAAAATAAGCGTTTATTTATATTATGATTAACATACGTATTATTTATTATTAAGATTAGCTTGATTTATAACAAACATATCATCTC